GGTGGGGGGGTGGGGGGGGTGGTGTGGGGGGGGGTGTCGTGGGTGCAGGAGGGGTTTTTGGGGGTGGTGATGGCAGGGTATGAGGACATCTCCCGCTGCCGGTGGCTGGGGCTGAGCTCTCTCTCCACGTCCTGCAGGTCTGCGTTGGGCAGCAAAGCCGCCCTCTCCACGCTCTCCATCCTGGTGGCCCTGCTGATCGCCGGCCAGGCTGTCACCGTCTACTTCGTCTACCAGCAGAACGGGCAGATCAGCAAGCTGACCAAGACCTCCCAGACCCTGCAGCTGGAGGCGCTGCAGAGGAAGCTGCCTTCCAGTCAGTAGCCCCAGTGGGCATCAGAGTGGTGGTGGTGGTGGTGGGATGGCCGGGGAGAGGGGACAGGTTTCCCCCTGGACCACCCAACCCGGCATCCCTCACGCCGCTCTTTCCTTGGCAGGTGCCAAGCCGGTCAACAAGATGAAGATGGCCATGGTGAACACACCCCTGGCCATGAGGGTCCTGCCTCTTGCCCCCTCTGCAGGCAGCATGGTAAGAGATGCCCACCTTTGCCCCGGGCTGCTGCCCCCTGCCACCGTGGGTTGCTGCCGGTCCTCGCGCTCACGCTGCCCCTTTGCCTTTTCTCTTGAGGACACGTCCCCCGCTAGCAACAAAACCGAGGACCAAGTGAAGCACGTGCTGCTGGTAAGTTCCTCCGCTCCCCCACCTGCCCCGTAGCTGCCCCCCTGCGCTGTAGGAGGCGATGGGACCCTCTGCTTCCAGCGCCAAGCTGTCTCCTGGCTCGGTCTGGGGTCTCTTGAGGCTCTCGGAGCTGCTGGGAGCTCCTGGCCTCCTGCGATGTCCATCTGGCTGATATAAGCAGAATGTCAGCCCCCATCCCCACCTCGTTTTTCTTTGCCCTGTCTCACCGTGGTGGTCACTCTGCAGCAAGCAGACCCCAGGAAGATGTTCCCGGAGCTGAAGGACAACCTGATGGACAACCTGAAGACCCTGAAGAACACCATGACTGATGTGGACTGGAAGGTCAGTGCTTGCTGCCGTCCTAGTCTCCCCCTTCCAGGAACACCCTGCTTTGGGGAGGGACTGGGGTGTCCTCACCTGGAAAAACAAAGTCCTGCTTGAGCCATGCTTGGGTTACTCCCACCCCAAGGAAGATGGTGGCGCCTGTGACTTTCCTTGGCCCAAGCGGGTTAAGATGCTGGTTCCCCTTGTTGCAGGGCTTTGAATCCTGGATGCACAAGTGGCTGCTGTTTGAAATGGCCAAGAACACCAAGCCGGAGGAGCAGAAGGTGGTCCCAGCAGAGAAAGGTACCAGGGATGGGGGATGCTGAGCTGGGGAGGGTCAGGACCGGTCCTTTGGGAGCAACCACCCCCCCCAGGAGGTGGCAGCACAGGCCATCCCAAAGGCCACCCAACCCTCTGTCCCCTGACCGGTCATGGACCTCTTTGTCCCATGGGGGAGCCTCTGGTTGGTGGCCTTTAGGACATCACAGAGCCACTGCCTGCTGCCCGCAGGGCATTTGGGATGAGTAAATGTGTGAAAAGTGAAAAGCCAGAGCGGAACACCAAATCCTCAGTCCTTGGCTCCCTGAGAGCTTTAGAAAGGTCACCAGGGTGGGACTTGTTCTCCTTTTGTATTTAATTTAGCTGCTTCTGGATAAAAGGCTCCTGCTGAGGCTGCTGCGAGGCAGGAGGGCCCGGGGGGGGCTCACGGTGTCTCCCCTTTGTTTTTATTGCCCTAGTGCAAACTAAGTGCCAGGCGGAGGCCGGTTTTGGGGGTGTCCATCCGGGTCGCTTCCGCCCTCAGTGCGATGAGAACGGCGACTACCTGCCCAAGCAGTGCAATGCCTCCACGGGCTACTGCTGGTGCTCCTACAAAAATGGCACCAAGATTGAGGGCACAGCCACTCGGGAAGAGCTTGACTGCTCCGGTAGGTCACCCGGGTGGGGAAGGAGAAGAGGAACGAGCAGCGTGTATGGATGCTGTGCCTGGTTTTGCTTGTGATTAGGCAGAGCTGTCAGGGAGAGGAGGGTGCCCGAGCTGTAGAGAACATCCCTCACCCCTTTTTGGTGCCTGCACGTTGAGGCTGGAGGGGACCCCAACACCCCCAGCCCTCCTTGGCTAGCTGCAGTGATAGCAGAGGCACGCAGTCAAGGTTTTGCCCCAAAGCCACGGCTCAGCGGGTGGGCGCAGGCTCTGCCCTGCTGCCCTCAGAGGGGTGGGGGGCAATGGAACAGCCCCAGGGGGTCCAGCACCCATGTCCTGCCCTCCTTCTGCAGGTGCCGTTGCTACCACTGCAGAGCCGGAGGAGATGATGTTCTCCGGGGTGGACATGCTCAAGCTGGGTGCAGAGAAAGGTGAGAGGCCAAGTCCTGTCCTGGGGGCATTGGGGAAAGCCCTGGGGGCTGGGGGGGTGGCTGTAGGAGGCACAGGTCCAGCCCCAAGAGCCAGGGCAGCACAAAAACACAGCTGGGGAGGTGGAGGGTGTGATGGAGACACAGCAAAAGCAGCCTGGGCTTTGGGAGGTCCTGGAGCCATCTTATTGACTCCCTCTTCTTTCCCTCCTCAACAGCCGAGTAGAAGAGGATGTCAGTGGATGCCTGTCCCATCCTCAGCATCCCAGCTCCCTCCCATCTTTTGGGTTTTTTTTTTTGCTCTATTCCATTTCTTCTCTTACATCGCTTTCCCAAGACAATTAACAGCAGGCACCCCTGCGCGCTCCTGCCCCTCGAGGCATCAGTTGTGACCCTTCCCCTGCTGCAGGGCACCAGACAGAATCAAGCTGCCACCAAAATCAGTGCTAGAGACCAAGCGTTCCCTCAGAGGGCGGGTAGAACAGGCTGGAAAATGATTTCAGCCACGTCAGACCCACAGCCCTGTTCTTCTTTTGCTCCCCAGCATCCCGCACCACCGGGGCAGCAGCAGGCACGTTGCTCACCCCTGCTGAAGAATGAGCCACTAATGCTTTCTTACACTGAATGACCATTAAAAGCAGCAAAACAACCTCCACCAGCTTCTTAACTGACCCCCCCACCCCCCCCCCGTAGGTGGAAGCCCTGTTAGATTACAAAAGTAGAGGGTTTTTCTCGTGGCGCGCTCAGTGTTGTAGAGATAGACGCTCACCTTCAGCTTTTGCCTTCAGGCTGGAGAACAGCCGCAGCAGTGGGTACCAGTGGGCAGAGGAGTTGACCCTGGAGGCAGAGGGGCTTCTAATTTTACTGAATATATCTGATAGTTCCTTTATAAATGACCTCACAATCCAATTATTTCGAATAAACTTTTGAATAAGAAAGCCTCGTAAGCAACTCTAGCAGGGCAGTGCTTGCAAACGGTTCGCAGCTGTCCTAGGTTAAAAATAAATTACTCTTAAGGGAAAAAAAATGGAAAAAAGAAAGATCTCTGCAGCCACTCGGACATCTCTGCCCCCACCCAGGATTCTTTGCCACATTCCTGGCGTATCACTTGTTCTATCTCCCCGGCATGGCCCAGGAGGCTGAAATCACCTTTAAGTGAGTCACAGCGTGGGGGGAGAGGAGGAGAGCAGCCCCCTCCCTCCGGCACCCGGATTCTGCAGGTGTGAGGGGGGCAACCAGGAGCTCTGTGCCGGCCAGCGGAGCAGGAGGGAGGAACACAAGGGGATCCAGTCCCTTTTTCCTCACCTACTAAACCTCAGGGCTGGGAATGAAGCGCGGAACTCAGGCACAAGCCCAGTACCAAGGTTCAGGGTAGCCAGGCAGCGGGTGATGCACAAGCCCGCTCTCAGCACCTGCCCCTACACAGCATTTTAGTGATGAAAAAAAACAAAACCAAAACCAACCAACAAATCAACACTAGAATGTTCAGTTCAAAGCTGAGGAGCAACAGCGTCTGCTCTTCCTCGTGGAGCAGGCAGAAAGCAATTAATTTTTCCCCAGGGGTTGAAGCGGTGCCTATGAAGGTGGGTGGAAGTTGAGCTCTGCCCTCCTACCTGCAGAGCCCGCTGCCCCTGGCCTGGGTTTGGTCCCTCCTGAACTGAAGGGCTTCTCACCTCCCTGCCTCCCTTGAAAGCAGCTGAAGCAAAATGTCACCATTTATTTTTAATATTTATTCTGTATTCCATAAAAAAAAAAAAAAACCAAAACAAAAAACCACCCACAAAAACTTGTGCCGCCTTGGCTGAGAACAGCTGCTGGATACAGCTGTTCAGTGCAACTCCAGGGAAACAATAATCACTGCCGTCAAGTGTTAGAATAAAAAGTAAACCCAAGAGCCTTCTTCCATAGTCGCAAAAGGAATGACACCACAAATCACAGAAGGGGGAAGGGGGGGGAAAAAAAAAAGGAAAAGGTAAAAGGTTCTCTTAAAAATATCA